TCCAACCTGGGCATGATAATCACAGGTGGGGGTTCCTGCTGCTGCTCTTGGGAGGGTCTGAAGGGACTGACAAAGGGAGCAGGTCTAGAGAGGTGGTTTGTAACACCTTACTCCAAATGGTTCATTTTTTTCTAGAATTTCAAGCTTGGACTACCTTTACGATTCCAAGCACAGCAATTCTGTCGGAAGCTGTGGTTCTAGAAAATACAGCATTCTAGAACCTTCCTTCTGTTCTTTACTGTGTTCCAAATAGCAGGTCACCTCTGCACTGTGGAACTGCCAGTTAGATTTTGCCCCAGAAAAGACTTGTCCTTCCATGGGTACTCCAGTGCCTAGGAGCATGCATCATTCTTTTCTGTTATGTTAAAAGTATTCCATAGAAAAACTCCCAGAATCCTTTCAAAGCCTCACTGGGTTTAGGATTTTACCACAAAACCAACCCACAGGATTTCAGTGGAGCCCCACATGTGTGTCAGTGGTGTTACCCTTTCTGCATCCTTGAAAACCCAAGAATCCTGAGGTGAAGCACTGGAGTAGCATTTGTCTGGGCTGTGCAGCCGTGCCAGTCCTTGGCAGAGCAGCTGCTGAGCTGTGTGTGTCCCACAGGGGTGGACACCATGGCTAACTACGAGGAGGTTCTGCACCTGCTCCGCTACAGGAACTGGCGCGCGGCGTCGCTGTTCGACCGGAGGTTCCGGCTGCTCTGCTCCGAGCTCAACGGCCGCTACGTCAGCAACGAGTTCCAGGTGGAGGTGGGTGCCTGCCCGGGGCCAGCCTTGCCCCAGCTGATGCACAACTGACCACTTACTGATTCAGGTGCTGTCCTGGAAATGAGGCTTAGGAAATGCGGCCATTTCAGGCAGTATTTTATGTAGAAATGTGGGTTTAGTCCTGTGTTTCGGCTTGAAATAAAGTTGTTTGTAGAAGAAATAGTGTGGTTAATGGAGGTGTGAAGGTTGCATTGAAAACACAGATTTTTAATTTAGCAAATGGAGTGAGAGTGGTGCTACCCAGAGAGCTGAGTGGCCTTTGTGTGTCACTCCAGGGATGCCACAGATGGGTGTGCTGAGCCCTTGGTTGTTTTGCTTGTGATGTGTAAATTTCTGATACTAAGGGATTATGTTAAAGCACAGAGAGGCTAAAATTACATTTACTCTGCAGCAGGGTACAGGTTAATTATTTACTATGCTTATATCAAATAGATACAAGTACAGTGGAAAGTGGCATTAGAAGCACTAAAATGTTAATTTTTTTCTCTTTATTTTTATATCTTCAGAATTAAACTGTTGGATTTCTGGAGTTTAACACTTTCTGTTTGTCTCTAGGTGAATGTTATCCACACAGCCAGCCCAGTGGAACATGCCAATCACATTGCTGCACAGCCACAGTTCATTCACCCCGTGCATCATTCCTTTGTTGATCTCTCTGGGCACAACTTGGCAAACCCTCATCCCTTTTCAGGTAAGGATTCTCAGCCATTGAAGTTAAGCTGGTTTTTTGTCTTTCAGATTGATGTAATTATATTTAAGGAAATGAGGCCTAGTTCTTACTTTCCTACTGACTTTTTAAGTGCCTGTAGACAAACTGCCCTTGTGTAATAGATATGAAATGTAATAATATACATGAAATACTTGTGTAAGGCCATTTCCCCAGGCAGGGGGGGAGTTGTTGGCACAGTGCAAGAGTTACCCGTGGTGTGTTTTCTGCAGTTGTCCCCAGCACAGCCACGGTGGTGATCGTGGTGTGTGTCAGCTTCCTGGTGTTCATGATCATCCTGGGCGTGTTCCGCATCCGTGCCGCGCACCAGAGAACCATGAGGGACCAGGACACAGGCAAGGAGAACGAGATGGACTGGGACGACTCTGCTCTCACCATCACTGTGAACCCCATGGAGGTAACCTGGGCACTGCTGCCCCTTCCCACCTGTGCCCTTTTCCGTGGCATTGCCCCTGGCCACAGGAGGAGGGGAGAGCAGAACCAGCCCTGAGCACAGGGCAGACAGTACCTGGGAATTTAGAACAAATGTGTCAAATGCCAGGGGCAGCTGCTTGGGATCTTTCAGGGGTTAGAGTTTCATGATGGAGAATGGGATTTTACAGGCCAGTGTTCATCATGTGCACAGTGCCTTGAACACAGCCTGCCTTTGTCTAAACTCGCAGGAATTTATTGCCAGAACATCTGTGTTTATGATGTTGCCTTCTCCTGTGGCTGACATGAATTTTTAGAAAATTGGGAACAAGAAAGATGTGTGACCTTCATGCTCTGTGTCCTATTGTAAGATCCTTTTCCAGTAGAATTTGCAGTACTGGATCCCCTTCAGAGCCACTTTGTGTAGAGTGCCAGCATTGACAGCAGTATCACAGAACTCTTTTACAATGTGCTACTTCCTCTGTCTTTTCTGCTTCTGCCTAATTCCTGCTGAACTTCTAAATCCAGCAAGGAATCTGCACTAGCTCTCCCTCAATATAATACCTTGAATAAAGAACAGAAAGAATCTTGGCCAGTATGGTAATGACAGCTCATTTTTGTCTGAACAGACTTACGAGGATCAACACAGCAGTGAAGAGGAGGAGGAGGAGGAGGAAGAAGAAAGTGAAGACGGAGAAGAAGATGACATCACTAGTGCAGAGTCTGAAAGCAGTGAGGAGGAAGAGGGAGAGCAGGAGGAGGACCAACAGAATGTCAACAGACAGCAGCAGCTGGAATGGGATGACTCTACCCTCAGTTATTGATTCTAGCTGCTCCCTTTGTCTTTATGTTCCCGCTCTAGAAGACTCCACTGTAACACACTCCATTGGTACCAAGGATTCATGGTGTTTAAAACAAAAAAATTCATTCTGGCCAGTAGATTGACCCCACACAAGCCGTGTTTGTGTTCTGTCAGCTAGTTCCTGATGTTTAGGGTTGTAGTTAGCACCTCTTCCTTCAGCCATGCCTCAGTGACTGGATTTTTTTTACGCTCTGTGAGGAACCACCTTGCACTTTTTTCTTCATGTCATCTCAGCTCAGTGACTCTACAGCTCTGTAGCCATTGCACATGAATTTCTGAACTGTCTTTTTTTGCTCAGTGAAACAAACTTGGCTTTGTTCCTTTTTCTCTTTCTAAACGATGCAAAGATTGCTTGTTGACAAAGGGTAAAGCTGCTCATTTCAGCCTGTTGATTTCTTTTAATTTTTTTCCCCGAATTAGTGCATGTGTAAAGTGGCAGAATGAGGTTAATATGTAGAAGATTAACAAGACTTTTTAATATTTTGTAAATATATTGGAATTATGTAATTATGTCATTTGTGGTAGTGAAAACAGGGATTGGGGTTTAAAACATGCTAAAGTGAAAAATCATGCAGCATGAACTATTCCAAGTCTCATCCTACTGCAGCAGGAGCACGGGCACAGTTCTTAGTGTAGATGTTCAGTAACTCTGTCTTGGCCTTGACTGCCATGTGTGCTCATGCCCCACTCTCCTTGAACTCCTTCTTTTCTTTCATCTCCTTTTTTTTTGCAGAGGGAACAGACAAGCTTGTGAGAAGTTGTAAAGGCTTTAGGAGCCTCTGCAGAGGTTCAGCTCCCCTGTGCACTACAGTTTGTTTTTAATTTTATTTTTTCTCCAATTAAGGCTTGCCATGAAGGCTTTTAAGTTATTGGGGAAATAACACTACATGCATGGTGGGCAGATCTGTGTGCTGTGGCTCCTGGTAGTTCTGGGGAGAGTGCCTGGAGTCCAGTGTGGGCTGTGCACACTGCAGGCAGCTCTGGGTGTAGGGGAGTCTGAGCCCTGGCTACCTGAGCACCCGGGCTACCAGTCTACAGGGATAGGGATTTAGGGGGTTTTTGTTGTTAATTTTTTCTAATTTGGAAGTGGGAGGGTTTGGGATGTAGCTGATACCACTGAACACTCCTGCTCCTCCCCTGCAGCCCCTTGTACAGATTGTTGTTGTTTTAAGCCTTTGTTTACACTTAGTAATTGTGTTTTCCTGCTGGTGAAAAACTGTAGCATAAATTATCCAACCAGAACACCTTGGGAATCACGTTAATTCATGTAATTTGGGTTGTTTCTGATCCCAGTTCCACTTTGGGATTGCAGAGGGCAGTAGCTGGAAGATACAAACATGGGGGGGCTGTTTTTAATGTCAGGCAGGGTTGTTTAACTTTATTTGGTCTGATGCAGAGTCGTGAATAATGAATTTCTGCTTGGTCTCTGTGGAGGTGGATTAAAGAGTAACTGGCTCTGCCTGTGCCAGGAGCCTGGGACTGCATTTCCTCCTGAGCAAGGTAAGCCATGCACCAGCCTTGGCTCCTGGTGTGGTGCAGAGCCCAGGGCAGGGCCAGAGAGGGGCACGGGGGTCCTGAGCACCAGAGGGAGGAAAGATCAGGGCTGAGCACGTGTTTGTACAGCTGGAGTTCCAGAGCACCTGCTGGTGATGGGGTTAGCTCTGGGGAACCTGGCTGAGGAGTGCCTTTAAATAGAGATGGACCTGGCAGAGGGAAAGAACCCACACCAGAGCTTACTGTTTTTGGGGTTGGTTTTGTTTTTGGTTTTTTTTTCTTTTTAATGTAAAATTTTAGATTTCTAAAATGGGAAAATGGTTTTGACTACTTACGTGGTAATTAACTGCTAGTTTTAAGTAAACTGGGAAACTTTTAACTTATGTCTGACAGTTGTCCTGTGTTAATGTGTAGAAGACTTATCCTTCCATATACTGTTGCTGTAGCTGCTGTATTTTAGACCAAAACTGATCATGACTTAATGGTAATACTGAGGGGTTGTAATGTCCTGATGCAGTTTGTAGCCACTGTGGGTATAACTTTTCAGATGTGTATATTGGTAACAGGTCAGTTTGGAAAGTCTATAAGCTACAATAAATTTCTGGTTCTAAAGGTTGTTTGCATTTTTTTTCTTACTGAGGGAAACAAAATAGAATCCAGTTATATAAACAGTGTTAATTTGCCTGAGTTTTGTGGTCATCGCTCTCAAGCACAGAAGGACTTGGCAGCATTTGTGTACAACTTGTCAATATCTTTTATTTCTTATTTACAAAACATGTACCTAATGCAACTGAAAAGCTAAACATGTAAACATTCTCTTCTTGCAGAACCACGGTTTGGCTTAAAAAAATACTTCTTTTTCAAAGGCAACAGAATAAGCACAATCCGTTTGTACAGAGTTAAAAAAAATGACAAAAACATCTCTAAATAAATAGAAATCGGTCTATCATCACCTATATGCATCATTCTGAGCATATTTATAAAAATGAGAAGCCACTTGTAATGAAATGGAACATTTTTGAAAATTATTTAAGTTTCAATCTTTAGTACAGTTCAGCTTGCTGGAACCCATCAGGTGAGCTGCTGCTTTGCAAATTTGGAGTCAAAGGCTCTTTGCTGGCCCAACAGAGCTGTCAGAGATCTACCCAAGGTTCTCTCCCAGGGTGTACAAGGAAGAAGGTCCACAGGACAACTCACTGAGTTTTTTACTGCTCCTAGGTAAGTCAAGTTTTCCAGACTAAGAAAGCTCTGTAAAGCTGTGCTCAGTTCGTGCAGTTGACACTGAGACACCTTTGTGTTATTGCACTTCTCAAAGCGAGGGGCAGGACAGGAGCCCTGCTCTGAAATCTGTGAGGGCCTGGCCTTTCTGCTGTGCCAGGGACTGAGGAGAGCAGGGGCCAGTGCTGACCACCAGGCCCTGGCACTGCAGGGCACTGCTTCTGCAGCTCTGGAGTTGTAGTGTCTTCCCTTCCACAAGAACCTGATCCGGGCTGTGCTGTCAGTGCATCTCACCTTGCACAGACTTTTTTTGCATACTTTTTGCTCTGTAAATTAGTTTAATAAGCAAGGAACTAGCAATATTTACTCTAAATGGGCCAGAGGCTCAGGACTGTTCCTCACTGATCAGCCTGCACAGAGCTCTAAATCCTGCAGCATTTCCCTCTAGTAGCAAAGCAGCTGTTGGAGCCTGAGTGCTTCAGTCACAGTATCATCTGAAGGTGTAGGAAAAGGGGCTCTCCCAGGGTTAGATTAAATTAAAATGAGGTGTCTTCTATGCCAGAACTGCTGCTTCTACCAGCAGGTGCTTGAGAGACAACAGGGTTTGTATGAGTAGATCCAAACCAGAACAGACCTCACAGCTTAACATCTTCTATGAAAAGCAGTAAGTACTTTAATTTGAAAATGCAGTCTTAGCATTTTCAGGTCTGAAACCAAAATAAATCCAGAAATGCAGGAATTACTTGAGGTTCAACTAAAGCCTAACTTTGGAAAGCAAAGTACCTGATCCAGTGGCCACCTCAAAGCTGCTTTTGTGCCACCAGTTCTAGACAGCAGTAGCTGAGTTCCAGCTCAGTTTCAGAACACTTTGGCCTCTGGAGCAGACAGAAAGCAATATGAGAGCGTGGATGTTTTTATCCTGTCTCAAGGCAGAGTAAAAACATTTCTCCAAGTCAGCTTTGGTGTGCTTTGAGCTGACCCACCCCGTGGACACTGACACGGGGCAGGAGTGACCACATGCTGCAGTTAATGCCTCTAAGCTGTAACAGTGGTGTCCTAGAAGATGGGCTACAGGCACAGGGGGATCTCTGCTCAGCTAAATTTTCAAGGAAATAGAAGTACAGACATTAGCACAGTGGAGGGATGTTACAGTGCCTCGACTCTTCCATTGAAGCATGTATTTGGAGCTCAAGGAGTTCTCAAGGTGCAGTGCCCCCACCTACCTTCACTGGGTGCAGTTTTATTGCCTCACGTCTCTCCCTTGTCCCCAGAGATGCAGAGCAGCCACAGGCCATGGCTGAGGACAGGCCAGCAGTGTTTCAGTCATGCAGCAAGGTCTGATCTCTGGGATGAGTGGGGGATCTTGCACTGCACCACTGTTCAGTCTCAGGCACCTGGGGCAGCTCTGCTCTACTGCCTGTTGTCTTTGGAGACGTTGTGTGCCAGCCAGTTCACTTTGGTTTTCCAGCTCTCCCGCAGGGCTTCATTAAACTTCACTCTGAAGTGCTTCAGTGCCTCCTCATCAGTCTTCCCAAGGGCCAGGGAGTCCTGGAGGCAAGAGGCACAAATCAGTGCACAACTGAACAAGGCACTGCTCAGCCAGGGTGGTTATGACTCAGGAGGCAAACTAGGAAATGAGAGCCAAGGCTTTGCCTCCTTCCTGCCACTGGGCACCTGCTGCCTTGGTGGTGAAGAAGCTGAGGAGGTTTCTGAGCACCAGCACCTGGCATTTCTGTGTCCTGCACAGGGCACTGGACTTCACTCACTGATTTGGAGCTTCTAAGAATCTGGCCTTGCACACTGAACCCCTCCTCACCAGCCACAAATCAGTGCTCAGTTTAACCCCCTGCATGGGTCTCCTCTTACCTTTAGGTACTGGATGTCTTTGGAGCAGCTGAGCTCGGGCAGCCCAGCAGCCTTCATCAGTGCAAAGAGGTGCAGGAAGAGGAGCCCGTGGCGCCGCAGGATCATGTAGGCCCTCTCACAGTACCCCCTGAACCTGAGCAGAGCAAAGCCAAAGCACTGAGGGCTGCAAGCTCCACCATTCTGTGAAGCATTTCAGCAGTCTGAACCCCGCTCTCTCCAGTTAATAATTGATTTATTTTCACCTGCACAGGCAGCTAGAAGCTGCCTTAGTGGTGGAAATTAATACTAAATATTTATAATACTAATACTCATTGGTGGAAATAAATACTAAAAATTCAGTGCTTCAAAAGCTGAAGTCAAGTTTAACTCCCAGCACTTACCTTTCAAATTTCTCATTGTTGTTAGTTTTTCCTTGCTGGATGACGTGCACAAAGTCATAGGTCAAGATGAAAGGGACTCGTTCTCTATTGATACCAAATTTAGTCTTGAAGTTCCCCAAAAAGTGACCAAAATCAATATGGAACAACTGGAAAAAAGAAAAAAAAATCAGAATATTACCTATCAGTGTTGAGTTCTCTTCAGTTACTGCACTGAGCAGCTCCTGGCTGGGGGTTCAGGGAGGGAGGGGGTGGCCCAGCCTGGGCAGAGCCCCCTGGGCAGAGCCCCCAGCCCGGGCAGAGCCCCCTGCCCGAGCCCCCTCCTCACCTGCCCCGTCTCCCGGACCATGATGTTGTCGCTGTGCCGGTCCCCGATGCCCAGCACGTAGGTGGCCACGCAGTAGCCAGCACAGGACAGGGTGAACTCCTCGATGGCTTGCTCCAAGGCGTCCCTAGAGAGGGAAGGAAGGAGTGAAAGGTGATTTTACTTTGGACTCCAGCACTGCCGTGGGAAGGGCTGTTTGCAGCGGCAGGAGAAGGGAGGGAAGCTCCTTTGGATTCCTGTTGTGCTCTCTGGAGGCAGGACTCCTCTCGTGGACAACACCCCATGTGTGGGGACACGAGGCTTGACTCCATTTTGCTCAGAAGGCACAATTAAAAACAATCCACATGGACCAATGGAAGATGCACCTGTTGCATTCCACAGCAGCACACAGTTATTGTTTAATTTCTTTCCTGAGGCTCTCAGCTCCTCAGGACGGGAAAAATCCTAGGAAAGGATTTTTCATAAAATATCATGGCTACAGACTCCCACCCCTGCTTCACAAAAAAGAGCTGCAAGGTCTGTAAGTGAAGGGCTCTGAGTAAGGTGGTGCCAAAATCTCCACACGAGGCCTCCAGGTGTGCCAGGCAGGGGAGCAGCCTGTGGGACAGCCTGGAGCTGTGCAGAGCTGAGGGAAAAGGGGCAGGAGGGGAAGGTGACCCTCACCCCGGGTTCTTGGACTTGAGCCAGTTCAGCAGAGCGTCCTTGTTGAAGGCAGCCGTGGCCACCATGTTGCTCTTGTTGAGCTGGATGTTGGCGATGGTGTCCGAGTGCATGACCACCTCAATCAGCCCCGTCTTGTCTCCTGTGGAGAGGCAGCCATAAGGGGTCATCCTGCAGAGATGAAAGAAACCCTTCCACTGAAATCCTGCCCACAAACAACTCGTGGTGATTTTCAGCTTTCCCTTGCCTGCCTGTCTCTCCCTTCCTGCCCCACAGAAGGTGCCCAGCTGCTGCCAGGGCAGCAGACAGACCTGCTGGGGGCAAAGCCAGCTCTCCACCCTGGCTGTGGGTGCAGGACAGCTGTGGGCACCCTGCTCACCTCAGGTCCAGGCCCTCCTGCTTCCACAGGATGTCCATCAGCTGGATCATCTGCAGAGTCAGCATGTCCTGGCGCAGATCTGGGCAGCGTTGCAGAGGAAAAGATCATTTTACTGCTCAAAAATATCCAATTACCACTGCACTAAAGTCTTAATTAAAGGGGGAAGCAGGTGAAATAAAAGCAGGTGAAATATAGAGGGGAGTTAATATATATTTTCAGATTACTACCAAAAAACTCACCCAAAAACATTGAAGTTCCTAATTTACACACCATCTTAATGGTCCAGATTTAGGCCCACTCACCCCAGTAGATACTGGAGACTAAAAGATATATTTTCACAAGCACAATAAAGACTTACCATCTCCATTTTTAAAAATTATACCCACTCCACCTCGACCTGTCTCTTCATTATTAAACACAATCCACAGAGGTTTCATTTTGGAGTCCATAAAGGTGCACTGATCCACACTAGGGGAAATAAAAATATTATCCTCAGTTTGCATCTATTAAAATATCAGCCATCCAAGCTGCCAGTCCTACAGCAACCCCACCCACTGATGGACCTGGGACTTCCATGAGGAAAGAACCTTGGGATAACACAAAGCCTGGCTCCAGTGTGAAACAAAGCACAAAATTCACACAAATTCAGAGCTGCAGATCTCTCCCTTACCAGACTTCAGCGAGGATGATGTTGGGGTTCAGGGGGGACTGGAGGTGGGAAAGGGCTTCCCTGTAGGTTTCCTGCTTCATGCACATGTGCATCATCTCCTTGGTTTGAGGCTTGGTGGCCTTCTGAGAACTCACTTTCACAAAGTCATTCAGAGCTTTCATCTTGTTCAGTGCTTCTCCCTGAAAAAAGGGAGGGATGAAACAGGGTTAACAAACAGGAAATTCCTGGATAAAGTTTAAAAAGCATTAAAATCTCCTGTGAAATGTAAACCTTGGTCCCATCTCTTACTTCCTCTTCAATTTGTAGCAATTTCACACATTGCAGCAGAACAAATTTAGTAGTATCTGCTTGAGGAAGATCCGTAATTAATTGTGGATACTCTGCTGGGCACAATGCAAGGTAGTGGCTGCAGCAGGAATAAAGCACATCACCACACACCAGGGAAGAAGTGAGGGGCCCTGGCTGGAAAGGTGCAGAGGATGAGCCAGCCCAGGCTGCCCTCTGCTGCTTTTGGGGAGCTCTGGTTGTGAGCAGCTCCCAGTGCACAGCCCCTCAGGCAGCTGATCTAGAAACAGCAGTGCTGTGCACACCTCAGCCCTTCTGGACAGACTGCAGCAGTGGGGGGACATCCCCAGGGGACCCCAGAGCCAGCAGCCCTCAGGAGGCTTTTCCTGTGCCGGTGACATCAATGTGGGAAAGCCAGGAGCTGGGAGCCAGGCAGAGGGGAGGCCCAGAGCAAGCAGTACCTGCTTCATCAGCACCTTCATGTGGTGGGTGCTGCCCCGGCAGTAGGCTTCCAGGATGAGCCCAAACCTCAGGGACACGGCGGGCACGTGCATCTCCGACCTGCGGGGAGCAGCAGGCTCAGGGCAGGGCTGGGTCAGGGCAGGGCTGGGTGACAGCAGGGCTGGGGCACCCCCTGTCCCCTCCAGCAGCCACGGGGAGCCACAGCACAGCACCTGTGGAATGGGGGAGGACAAAAAATGCCCCCACCCCAGAAGGTGATGGAGGAAAACCATTGCCTGAAATGATGAAATGATCTTTTGGGTGACTCAGCCCCCAACCCCTCCTTTGAGGACATCACCTGGGGAGCAAGAACAGCTCAGAGCTTATGGCTCAGAGCTGGCAGGTGGCCAAAGAAAATTCCAGCTCAGAGGTACGTGTGTGTATAGTCACAAATATATGTAAATTCTGGAAACAGAACCTAACCCAAACACTACAATGACAAAAGACAAAAAGAAATTAATATAAAGCCAATATTGTGTCCTCCTGGGATAATTCTTTTGAGTCACCCAAGGTAAAAAGTAGCAGTTCCCACATCACAGAGCAATGAAGGACTCAGTAAATGCTGGTTGCCCTTGATTTTTGAGAAAAAGCCCAAAAGATTTGCTGTTCACCTCAGATGCCAGAAGAGGAAGTGGCCGATCTTGCGGTTGGACAATGCCCTTTCCAGCAGGAACTTGGTTAATTCACAGTCTAGGTAGGATTCGTACTTGAGCACCTGGACGAGCTGCAGCAGGTACTGGAACACGTCATCATCCCTGGGGACAGAGAGGGAACATGAAACACAACCCTGTCCTCGGTGCCACGGCTGTTCCTGTGCCCGGCAGAGACAAGGCTGCCCCTGCTGCTCACAGCCCCTCAGCACCCTGAGCAGAAACAGAAAGGGCTCTGCCTCTCCTTACGTCAGCTTCTTCAGGGAGTTGATGGCAAAGGAGCCAACGTAACGGTCAGGAAAGCTGAAATCCAGCAGCTCCAAGGCATTCAGGACAGGCAGCTCTGGCCAGGTCTGGAGCAGGGAAATCATCTGTGATGACCAAAAAGAAAATAGCTAAAAAAAGGAACAAGGCTTTTATGACAATGGATATAAATCTGAAATTCTATTGATGAAAGAGCAGCTCCTTACAGGGGGTCACTATTTATAGATGCCTCACAGCAAGTTTGCAGATAGCAGGTCAAAAACTGATCCATTGAGGAGGCTTGTGCTGATCTCTTACTATTATTTAGGAAAATTCAATCCAGATATCTTTTTTCCCCAAGAATTATACAGATTTTTTTTGCCTCTAGTTTCTTGAAGGAGTAAACAAGACCTTGCTGGCCAGTAACAAATCTGGGACAGCCCCCAGAACCAAACAGAGCCCAGAAGAGCCAGACCCCAGCTGGGAACGTCCCTGAGAAAACTGAAACACCCCTGCAGAGCTGGGCTCCCAAAACCAGCTCAGGAACGTGGACACAGAGATGGAGCAGAGCAGGAGCCCTGCTGGCAGCCCCAGCCTGCTCACCTGGGCAACGTCCTCGTGCTTGTTCCACTTGGTGACGACGAGCAGCTTGGCCAGGGCCTGCGGGTACTGGTCGCGGATGTCGAACCTCCTCTTCCACACCAGGTCCTTCTCGTGCTCGTACAGCTCCGTGTGGCTGCGGCGCTCCAGGATCTCCCTCAGCTGCAGCTTCTGCACAGCAGGAGCACGCCCGGGCTCAGCACCCAGCTGGGGGAAAAGGGATGGAGGGCAAGGGGGAACAACCAGCCCACGAAACCGGCTGAAAACTGGGGCCAGGAGTCTCACCTCCTCGGAATCTTCTGCGGCAGCTCGGGGCTGTTCTCCGTTCCTCCCCAGCTCCAGCAGCTGGGGCACAAACAGAGAGGGTGAGGAAGGCTCTCAGCTCCTCTGTCACCATCACTTCATGCTGCCTTCACTGGAGGTCAGTCACTGTCACCTGCCCGGGCTCCCCTGTCTGCCTGGCACAGCCCCCGGGCCAGACCCCGCTCCTGGGGGCACAGACAGACCTCCCTCCCCTGGAACAGGCACATCTCCTCCTCCACTGGCCTGGCCAGTTGCAGTGACAGATGGAAATCTCCAGCTCACACATGGCTGTTATCACCCTGCTGAAAGGGAGGGAGCTGCCTGCTTTCACTCATTTCCCCTTTATTCCTCTTCCTTCCTGCAGAGCCTGATGCAGACTGAAGGCAGCTCAGTCAAACCCCTTTTCTAAACAAATGCTCATCCATTTCTTCAGTAATTCATAGCTCAGAAAAGTATTCACCCAAAGGTCCATTAGGTGAGAGGGAAAAGTGAAATTTTCAGTTAACAATATCTAGTAATCAAGTTTGCTTGCAGCCAGTGCCTGGTGATGGCTGCCCCAGAGGTTCCCCACTGGAAGGGACAGTGAGGGAATTCCCAAAACGTCCCTGTGCCCCACCTGCTCAAAGGATGGGTAGTACACAGGATGTGCTGCCACGCTGGGGAAGCAGATGACCAAGGCTGCTGCACTCTCAGTGTTGGGGTTGCACTGCACTGTGCCCATGGGGTTCAGAAGTTCCCCTTTCTCATCTGAAAAACAAAGCACGCAAAACCCGTGAGCCCAAGCCTTGCCAAGCTTTGGTGCAGAAAGCAGAGCAGGGGCTGTGCCTGGGCACTGCCTGGCCACCCTCCTGAGCCCTCAGGCAGGGGCATCCTCAGGTGAGCAGCCACCTCTCGGGTCACACCGCAAAGCCAGGCTCACCAGAGCCAGGCTCACCAGAGCCAGGCTCACCAGAGCCAGGCTCACCAAAGCCCCGCCCGGGCAGGGCTCCAGCTGCCACCAGGGCACAGAGCAGAGCCTGCTGCACTGCCCGGGGAGGCTGGGGGTGCCCGGGGCAGCAGCGCCCTGCCGGGCCCTACCTGGGAAGGAGGACCACATGTGCAGGCAGCACTCCCCCGTTTTCAGCTGGTCCTTGTAGTCGAAGAGCATCACGTTGGCCCAGGCGATGGGGCAGTCCTGCAGAGAGAGCACCGTGGGCTGCCTGCCCTGCCTGCCCTGCAGGCACACAGCCCTGCACAGCACACCCTGCCTGTGAACCCTCCAGACCTGACTGCCAGGTGGCACCGGGCACCCACCAGCACCTGGGCTCCTGTGTGGTGCTGGATGGCACCCAAGGCTCCCCACAAAGGAACTTCACCTGATACTGGGCAGAGCTGAAGAATTTCTAATTTTCCAATGAGGCCTTGCTACTCTACCCTCAGTATTTAAGGGAACTATTACATATTTAATATATTTCACAACTTGAGGGGAGGGAGAAGAACTTTAATTTTGAAAGAGGGAACACGGAGTAGGCAGGATTTTGGAAAAGGAGACTAAGGATGCTAGAAATAGCTCAAAATAGGAAAAAAGGCTTGGCTTCTTTGTACAATAATAAACACTATCTATAGAAATCAAACTTTACGCTGCCAATCCCTCACCACACCCCCAAAATAAACCTCACAAATCCAACCCAGCCTGGTTTTGGAGGAGGGAGACTCCAGCAAGTGAAGTGGCTGGGACATGGCCAAGACAAGAACCCATCCCCTGCCCTCAGGCAGCTCCCAGCCCCAGAGCAGACACACGTTCCACTGCTCAGCTCTCCTGCAGGCAGGTTCCCCAGATGGAACACTTGAGCACTCAGAGCTCAGATCACAGCAGGCTCAAGCACAGAACACAACTGGGAAAGGGTTAAAGGAGAAATTCTGCACTGAGGCACCCCAAACAGAGCCACAGAGCCACATCTGGTTCCACTGGGGCATTGCAGACAGGGCAGCCTTGCCCCACAGAACACCCCAGCACTGGGGGAGGTGACAGAGCCCCACTTCCCTCTAACGTGACAAAATGAGTCACCCCAAGCTGCTCTCACAACCTTGGAGCTGATTTGATTACTCCAAATATCTTCAGTGAAATCACATTTGAGACATCAGCTTGCAGACAACAGGGAAAAGCCAAATAAAACACCAGCAGCAGCAATAACCTTTTCTAACAGAGTAAATGACATCTAAGCACAGCTCAGAGCCTGCCAAAACACAAGGCAAGATTTCTGCTGGATAAGGTCCAGCAAATCAAGGATCCAGCATTCTAAAGACAGCCATCTCCTGCATGATTTAGAGAAACACTGAAAGCCAACCCTCCGGGTGACATTAACCCTCTGACTCATGCAGTCAGCCTGCAAACATTCCTGCTTTTGTGTAGTAAATGATGTAGTCCCACCTATCTGCTCTGGACAGTCTGCATATAAACAACATGGATGGAATTAACCTCTGAGGAAGGAAAAAACTGACAATCAAAACAAACAAACAAAAAAAATCAGGGTGCACTCTGTAAACTGCCCTTACCAATAATTTGAAATTATTTCTGGGCACTTCACTCAGAGCTGTAGCTCACCATGGGGAAAAAGATGAATAAGATCCTCTTAACAGCTCAGCTAAACAGACTGGCTCTGTTTTGTCAATCAGAACAGCAAGATTTCCTTCTGACTGCTTCCAAACTGAAAATTATTCCAGTGTGACCACAAGCATCCAGCCCGTGGATGAATCAGATCTGTCCAACAAAAGCCTCCAGCAAGAGCTGGGGTTCTGCTATTCCTAAATAAAAAAGAAACCCAACAATAAACTGTTAATCCTGATCCTGGCCTCAAAATGTTTCCAGTCCAAAGCCTTCAACCCAGAACTTGGTCCCCACAAGCAGGATTGATGAGCTGGCTGTGGCTCCCAGACAGGAGTGCCCAGCAACCCTGAGAGCCCCACTGGTGTCAGCACAGCAAAGCTCAGAACCCCCAGCAGCCAGGAGTGAGCAGAACTGAAATCTCCTGTACCACGCTCAGCAGTGCCCCATTGCTCTGCACTCCAGCACAGGTGGCATGAGCAACCCTCTCCTTAAGGCACGGGAACAGCCCTTGTGGTCACACAAAGAACAATCTGCAGAGGCACAAGTGCCTTTGCTGCTCACAAGAACAGAGCTTGAGGCTTACGTTACAACTCTGGGAAATCAGCAATTCCACTGAAGGCTGCAGCTGGATCTGCTTTTAGTTACTAAATTATTAATGGGACAGAAGTTTTGGAAAGTGAAAAAGCACCTGATTAAGATGCTCAAATCAAGATCTTCCAAGGTGGTTTAACACTTTCTATGGTCAGTTTGCAACACCTGGACAGTGACCTTGAGGAATCTGCACTTTAGTTTTACCTTGCCTAATGCTTTGCCATAATCAATGTTTGCATTCCCCCTCCCTAGCTGGTAATTTGCTCCACTGGGGACTTGCAGGAAGGACCTTGTTAGAAAGAAAATGCGACGGAGATGATGGTTTAACCTCAACTACAAAACAGGGAAGCTGCAGGAGAGCGAACCAGGGGCACCGAGATAAGTGATTCCTCTTTGGGTCAGGCATGCTGGGCATGTTTCTCAATGACCTTTCTAGAGAAGAAATTACATAAAACCAGCCTTTCTCACAGGCAGCCATTCCCAGCTCCCTTCTGCTGAAGGAGTCCCTGCCCGCGGCCCCGTGAGCCGTTTCATCAACCCGAAGCTTTGAGAGCCACGGGCACCAGCTCAGGACCGTGCCCTGGGCTCAGCCCCGGGCTGGCTTCACTTACAGCCTTCTTGGACTTCTTCTTGGTGGAGCGAGCCTTCTTGGCCTTCTCGATGACGGCGTAGAGCGCCAGGCAGAGGCGGGCCATGCGCGGCAGGTCGCAGACGCTGATGTCGAAGTCCAGGCGCTGCCGCCACACGGGCTCCGAGCACACGCTCACCTCCGAGCTCGACACGGTCTTGCAGAGCATCTCAGCGCCGTGGAACAGCCCTGCCTGCACCACCAGCTGGGCCAGAGCAGGGCAGCACAGTGAGACAGGGCGAGTTACAGCCTGGTGTGCCCCGGGGAACGGGACAGGCAGCCCTCGCCTTCTCCTGCCTCTCCTTCTCTTCTCCTGCCTCTCCTTCTCTTCTCCTGCCTCTCCTTCTCCTGCCCTCTCCTTCTCTTCTCCTGCCTCCCCTTCTCCTGCCCTCCCCTTCTCTTCTCCTGCCCCTTTCCCAACTCACCCAGTTCTGAAATCCCTCTCTTACTCAGCTTCAGTGAGGGCACTGTTATATTCTCATTTCATGCAGACTTGCATATTGGTTAATGTGGCATTTTCTTGCTTTTCCCAAAGGGCAGCTGCTCCCCTTCTCCTCATTTCCCCCTTCATGGCAAACACCCCACACATGCCAGGCCTCTGCTGCCTGCTGCCTTCCCCCTGCCACTCGCCACCTCTCCCACCACTCCTCCCAGAGCTGGCTTTGCCCTGCCCAGTGCCATTAGCTCAGGGCAGCAGCTCTGCTTGCTGGGCAGCAGCTTTCCTAAGGCTGGGCTGCTGGCTGCCCTCCTCCCTCCCCATGCCTTGTGCTGCAGGTCAGGGACTGCCAAGGGCTGAATGGAGCAGGTGGGATCACAGTGCCAGCCCCACTGTGCTCCCCACGCAGACAGGCTGTGACTGGGAAGGTGCAGGTACAAACCCCAGACAGAGTCAGGCCCCACCTTCATTCTCTCGTCAGCATTGACCTTGCTGCCCTGCACCAGCTCGATGTAGAAGGGCTGCTCATAGGACCAGAGAGAGCCATAGTTTGGCTGGAAAGAGAAAAGGGCTCTGGTCAGAAACAGATGCAACAGAGGCCTCTCGAGTCAGCACCAGAACTCATCTCCCATCCCGTGCTTTTGGACCCCACAGCAAAGAGCAAGAAGCCTGGGACAGCCAGGGAGGCTGTGGAGGGGGCTGGAAGGCTGGCTGGAAATTCCCACCCCGTTCCCCAGCTGCCCTGAGAAGGGCAGGGAGCTCCCACTGCTGCCCCAGCCCAGCCCAGCCCAGCAGCACCCAGGGTGAGCCAGGGGTCCCTGTCCCTTGTACCTTTTTCTTGGGGAGCGGCGGGGGCTTGCAGGCGGCCTTTGGGGGGCTGGTGATGCAGTTGCTCTGCTCGTCCCTCATGGCAATGATGGCAGAGGAGTGCACCATGGTCAGGTGGGGGGTCTGGCCCCGCTGCAGGCAGCTGCGGATGTGCTGAGAGGGGACAGGGTCAGCCAGGCCACCCTCAGAGCCACCAGCCCTGCAGGGACCCAGGCAAGGACACGGCCACCATCCAATTCCAGCTCCCAATTATCTCCTCCTGCTTTATCAACCTGCAACTCGCTGGCCTCTTGCTGCCAGAGCTGAGAATACGGAGTGCCTTTTATAGCTGGCATTTCATCAATGGGCTCAAATGGCTGCATTAAGGGAAAACACTGAGGAGGATTCAGCACTCCCAGCAGCAGCCTGCCCTGCCAGAGGAGCACATGACTCAGGATCACTTGCCCAACTTTCAGTGGGAGAGCCCTCACCCCACCATACAAGCCAGCAGATATTTCCAGAACCACAGCCTGTAAATGCATTTACACAGCACTTGGCACCCAGGGACAGGCTCAGACCACTGACCCCCAAAAATAAAGGTTGGTTAGGTTGCTGGAAGCACCCTGTGCCCTAGGCAGCATGCAGGTGCTGCCAGTTTGTGCTGTACTGCTGCAAACAGCACTCTCTCCTTCTCAACACGTCCCAGCCCACGCCCCCACAAGAGAAGGCCACGTGGGAACAGTCCCTGATAAAGCAAGACACGAGGCTCACCTGGAACTGGTGCAGGGGGTAGTTGCCATAGAGGAATTCACATTTCCCATTCACCTGCAGGGTGTAGTCCTCTGGCCTGTGCACGGCCTCGTGGCGGAACACCGTGGCGTGTTTCTTAACAGCATAGCTCATCAGGGTGATGGGGAAGTCCCAGGGGGAGATCTGGAACATGAAGCTCTCCTGCAACCCCAACAGCACAGCAAATGTCAGGCAGCAGCACGGGGCTGGCGTGGCACAGAGTGCTGCTGGCACTGAGGAGCAGCATGGCAGGCAAATCACACACATCAGGGTAAGTGGGGATATTGTTCCTGCCAAGCTGAGCAAGTTTCAGCAGTGTAAGCACAAGGCTGGAAATCAGGAACTTCAATTTTCAGCAGAATCACCAGTTCACGTGGCTGCCAGCCGTTCAGAGCCTTCCCACGGTCATTCCAGCAGCAGGGCAGAGGCTGGGAGGGTCCCCACGCTCCAGCTCACTGCTCTGAAGGGTGACCCTGCTCCATGCCCAGGCACAACAGGCAGAACGTGAGCCCAGGCAGGAGCAGGGGCAGCACAGAGCAGTGCCTGCAAGCTGTGCCTGCTGAGCAGGCTCCTGAGCTTCCAAAGGAAAGCCAGGCTCTGGATTCTGTGCTGCTTTCCCACCCAAACCCAAAAAGGTTCCCAGCCACGCCAGGCAGCAAGCTCAGCTCCCAGCTACAGCACACCCAGTGCAGGAGGGAGAGCAGCTCCCCCAAGCACCTCCAGCCTGGAGAATGGACACTGAGCACATGGAAACACTGCCCAGGCACACACTCTTCTGCCTCCACACGCTCAGAGCCTCCAAAGGAACAGCACAAACCATCAAACACCGCGACAGGAAAGTTCTGTGCTTTACCCCGCCAGACTGGAACCTGATGTTGACAAAAATGTTCTGGGTGGGGATGTGCAGGGAGCTGAGGCCCTTGGCCACGGGCTCCAGCTGCAGGGGGAAGTTGTACTCCATCCAGGCTGCCCAGCCCAGCTGCTGCCGCCGCGCCGCCGTCTCCTCGCAGAACTGGCACATCTTGGCGCGGAACTCGCTCACCTCGGGGTCCTGCACGGAGTCAAACTCGTGCAAACCTGGGGCAAAGCACGAGGGGAAGGCCAAATAAGGGTCTGCAGCCAGCGGGGGAATGAGCCTGTTCCTCAGGGGTTGTGGAAGTCTCCCTGAGCACGTGGCCCAAGCAGGGTCAGCCCAGCTGCCAGCTTGGAGGGATGGACAACGTGCAGTGGCACTGTCCCCTCAGTGGTGCCAGCAGGCAGCACCACCTGCCCTGGCCCTGCACAGAGTGTCCCCCCTTCTGCATCCCCTGCAGACGGATCCTGCTGCTGCCCCAGTGTGCCAGCACAGCCCTGCAGGCAGCCAGGCTGCTGGGACGGGCTGTGTGACACCCAGAGCCAGGCAGAGCCACCCAGAGCCACCCACAGCCACACAGAGCCATCCAGAGTTACCCAGAGCCACCCAGAGCCACATAGAGCCACCCGGAACCACCCAGAGCCACATAGAGCCACCTGGAACCACCCAGAGCCACCCAGAGCCACCTGGAGCCACCTGGAGCCACCCAGAGACACCTGGAACCACCCAGAGCCACCTGGAACCACCCAGAGCCACCCGGAGCTGCCCAGAACCACCCAGAGCCCCCAGAGCCCCCCGAGCCCCCCCGTCAGGCTGACCCCTGCCGATGAGCAGGCTGATCTGGGAGTTGATGAGCTTCTTGGCGCGGTCGCCCTCGCGCGCCACGAGGCGCAGCACGGGCAGGAAGGGCTGGATGTCGCAGAGGCGGCGCTGCTCGTCCTCCAGCTCCTGCTGCTCGGCCGTCTGGTTGATGCACGTGAACACGTAGGCCTCGGGGCCGCTGAGCATGTGGAACAGCGGCTCGTGCTGCGCCTGCCGCCACAGCACCTGCGGGAGCCGCGCCACTGTCACCCGCTGCCATCACCCTGCTGCCACTGCAACCCCGCTGCCACTGTCACCCGCTGCCACTGCACCCGCTGCCACTGCACCCGCTCCCACTGTCACCCGCTGCCACTGCACCCGCTGCCATTGGCACCCGCTGCCATTGGCACCCTGCTGCCATTGTCACCCACTGTCACCCGCTGCCACTGCACCCGCTGCCATTGGCACCTGCTGCCATTGTCACCCGCTCCCACTGGCACCCGCTGCCACTGCACCCTGCTGCCATTGTCACCCACTGGCACCTGCTGCCACTGCACCCTGCTGCCACTGGCACCCGCTGCTGTCACCCTGCTGCCACTGCAACCCTGCTGTCACCCTGCACACCTCACTGTGCTGCTGTCACCCAGCACACAGCTAAGGCAGAGCACAGCCCAGGTTCCTCCCAGTCCCCTGGCCCTCAGCCAGGCCTGGTGGCTGCTGGGCAGTTTTTATTTATTTGCAGGTGCCTTTCATCACTTCCTTTCTCCTCTTGTTTCGGGCAGTGTCAGCCCCTCAGCCTGAGCACTTAAATCACCCCCACCTGAACATCTCACAGCAGGCACCTGCTGACTCTGGGCCTGTAAACACAGCAATTACCCGCACTGGAAACAAAACTGGGTTAAGTAACTTGCCCCCAGTAACAGGAAATCTGTCAGGGTGCCAAGGACAGGAGCCAAGAGCTTCTCAAGTCTTGTCAACACTATCCAGTTCCCAAGGATGCTCCCTCCCTGTGGGCAGCACTCTCACATGACTTCACATCCCTCTTCTGACTCTCATCCTCAGTGCCTGCTGCTGGGGGCAGAGCCCTGAGCCTAACCCAGACTGGCACCCAAAGCTGCTGGAAGGCTGTTACCTGCTTGATGGTGCCCAGGCTGGCATTGCAGGGCACTGAGAGGTTCAAGTATATGCCTGTGGGCAGCAGAAAGTCCACCTGGATGTTTTGGTTTTCCCCCTTGGACCAGAATTCTGTAGGGCAGTAAATGCCTGGGGGCATCCTGCTCACTGCTTGGCCACCACCTGCAAGGGAAGGGAAAACAACCTGCTGCTGTTGGCTGTTATTTGCTCAGCTCTGTGCTGGGCTCTGTAGAAAATTAATGTGCAAAAGAACCCAAAGAAAGGAAGGTCAGCTCAGCCTTAAAGCTCAGGAAAAGTCAGTGAATTAGTAAAAATTCCACTTCAGTGCCTTTGAGCCACATGTAACTACAGCATTTGTTTGTATTTCAATGCAACCCTCTCTTAATCCCTTCTAGGCCAGGATTAACATCTACACCTGCATTTGACAAAGAAATAAGAGAATTATCTACTCTGGAGAACAAAGGCATTGTCCCACTAGCTCATCTGTGACCAAGCAGCCAAGAGAAACAGTCAGTTCCTACCCCTGGCTGTGCAAGGCAATCCTCAGGCCACATGCTCCAAGCTCCACTTTGTTTTTCCAGAGCTCAGGTCCAGCCTGCAAGAGGGAGAAAGAGTTGTTGCTGGTTCCAAGCATGCATGCAATTTTATACACACAAAAAAGTAATACTCTGCTGTACATCCCCTCGCTACAAGTACAGGAAAATGAAGCTGAAGGGTGAGGCAATCAGAACAAGTTTGTTAATTCCACCTGCAGCCTCTCCCTTGGCAGGATGCTACAATTTATTTCCAGGACATCCAGGGAATGCAAAGAGAGCAAGAATCTGAACGCTGTCAGGTACAAACTGCTGGTTCCAAACACAGGATGAAACAAAAGGCATTCACCAGCAGCCTGGCAGACATTTCTTTCTCAAAGACCTGTAACAAAGCCTCCATCCACTGCCCACAAGCACAATGCCACAGCAATAAACCCTCTGGTTTGCTGCATGGGTGGCAAGTGGCAGAGCGTGGTGTCCCCCGTGCTGGGACTCTGGAACTGCTGGCACTGGCTCCAGCAGGACCCAGGGACGTGGCTCTAGCGAATTCCCTGCAAGCACCCCAAGAATTAGTCAGAAATTCTAACTAATTTAGAGAAACCAGCTCACCCCAACTCCCTCTGGCCAGTTTTTCTGCAGGTCAGCAGAGGAACATCCCAGGGGAACAGCCTGGAAGGGGCTCAGCCCTGAGCCAGCCTGTGTCCCTTCTCCTCAGCCCACAAAAGCAGCACAACATTTCCCCATCCACAACTTCAAACACAGCCGTGGGTGCAGAGGCTTTGAAGGGAGCTGAGCAAAGAGCAGCTGATTCCCAAACCACAAAGGGCTGCTGGCAGCTCCTCAGGAGCCAGCCCTGGGCTCCAGCAAGCACAAGGAGCCCAGCATCTTATCTGCCAGGTCCTGGGAGCACACCACTTCCCTGTCAGCAGTGAGGTCAGGATTCCCAGAAACATGAGCTGTGCTTTATCTGTCCTGCTTCCTCAGCTGCAGCACCACAAACCACCCTGCAGCGAGGGCAGCAGGGAGGGGCAAGGCTCACCAGTCTGAATAAAGCAACACAAGCTGCCCTTGTTCTCTGCCCACCAACACTAAAACCAGCAGGTTTCTGGTGAATCTGCTACCTCAGCCTGAGTCAGCAAACCACCACAGCTCTAGTGACCAGCAGAGACAGACACAGCCAAGGCTGAGCTGCTTCCTCCTGCTGAGGATTTCTGTCTGGCACCACATCCCAGAGAACACAAAGAGCCTGCCCAAGCCAAGAGCACGACAGTGTCAGCTCAAGCTCAGCACCTTGTCTTTCCACACTCCCTGATTTACAGGATGCAGGATTTTCTCCTGGTGTGAATATACCAAAGGAAGAACAACTCTGGACTTTCATAGTTTCTAATACATATTTTACCAAGTCTCTCCCCTTCCCACTGCTAAATTCAGAATGTGCTACCTGCTGGAGCTCAGGTCTGATGTGACAGTTCTTCCACGAGGCCAGCTCTGCACAGATCCTGCACTGCCTGACTTCCCTCTCCCCCTCTGCCCTGGGAAGCTGAACAGAGTTCTCCAACCTTGTCTGTGCTGTCTTGACCTCACGTGTACAAGTAATTACAATTCCCTTTTCTCTGGGTCGTGAACAGCAGCATCACTCCCTTTTGGCAGGGTTTACACTACTGGAGTAATCTGAGATATACTCTGTCTTTCACTGCAGCAGTCTTCCAAAAAAAAAAATTCTCCGATATAATTGTCAATTTTTAAAGCCCAGATCTCTTCACCACTGGGCAGTAAAAGTGGTGGAGGAAAATAACCATGAGACAAAATTTCACTTTTCAGATTAAGGCAACTCCACAACTTCCCCTGTGCCCTCTGCTCAGTTCATTATTCTTTACTGTGCAGGAAAGCTACAGGCTGCTCTCCCCTTGCAGAATTTAGTGTGCAGGTCATAAATGTATTTTCAGCAAAGAGGGGAGCTGGCCAAGGCAGAGCTGAGAAATAAACCCCAATTTCACTGGATGCCATACAGAGAATAGAGGCACAGCATCAGCAACAGGAGGAGCACAGGTGAGGGGTGTGAGGAAAGGTGAATTTGTGCAGAGTGCCAGGGTGCAGGAGACATCTGAAACCACCCAGCCAGTATTTAACAAGCCAGGAGCCGACACAAAACCTACTAACACAAATTTCAATTTCCTCTTGTGGAGTTTATCAACCACAGCTCTGGTGTTTACAACATGAAACTGCTTTGGAGAGGAAAAGGCAAAAAAAAAAAAGAACCCAAAAAAGAAAGCAGCAAGATCAGCCATGGAGCAGCCTTCCTCTGCAAGGCTGCAGCATCAGACAGACACGGAAGCTGCAGCAACACCCACAAACAAATTGTAGCATTAGAAAACCCCAGGAGTACCAAAATACCTGCAGCTTATAGGAAATGAGCATCGCAGAGCCCACAGGTGAAGGGCTGCGTGGGAGAGGCAGGAAGCCACTTTCATTGCAGCCAGGAGCCTGCCTGGGAGGAGAGCACCGGCTCTGGGGGCACACACGTGTTTGCCATGGCTGTGGCACACCGGCAGGGCCCTGGGCAGAGCCCTGAGCTCCCCCAGCACTTCAGGCTGCTCTCAGAGGGTTTTGAGCTTGGTCTTGATATCCTGGCTGGGGTCACAGGGTAACAAAACAGGTCCACACTGCAGGCAATCATTTGAGTGTGACCGGCAGTAAAAGGAACCCCCAAATCGCCCTTCAGGGGAGACTGGGAAGGATCCTGCAGCAGGTGAGTGTCAAACTGTGCCTGCACACGGGAGTTGGGAGAGGAGCTCCCCCCGGCAGGGTTTGCTGGGACCCACAGCCAGTGCCAGCCTCTCCACACACACACACAGAACCAGGCTGTGCCTTTGCTGTGCAGGTCAGGCTCTGCTCCCAGCACTGATGTTTCCAGCCCAGCAGCCTCCTGTGAAACAGCATCCGAGTCTGAGCTGTGCCACCTCTGCTCTCCCTCAGCTCCAGGACAGACCACAGCTCTGGTTCCTCCTTCAACACACCACAGGTGTCAAACTCGGGTCATGAACCAGGTAGGAAAACACTGGGGACTCCTCAGGAAAGTGTGGAAAACCATTCCAGCACTGAACAACCCCTAAAATCAAGAGCCTGGCTTTTTATCTTCCTCAAACCCTAGTTTAGAGTATTTGAATTCCCTTTACCTGGTTTACCATCATATGACTTCTACCTCCACCAAATAAAATAAAAATCAAACAAAGTGGTTTTTTTTTCATATTATCAGCTTCCATTTCATACATTGATCTCTCCTATCCTGCCAGAGTTGTCTGCACTGATTCACTCATTCTTTCAACAGCAGTTCATTGTTCATCTACACACCAGACACAGTTATGCTGCTTTGACAATGCCTTTTCTCAGATATTTCTGAGCCCCTGATTAATCTGATTTACACAAACCATTAGAGGGGTGCCTTGGCTGTGCAGGTCAGGCTCTGCTCCTGAGCCCACTGAGGCTTCCACCCCAGCAGCCTCCTGTGAAACAGCATCCGAGTCTGAGCTGTGCCACCTCTGCTCTCCCTCAGCTCCAGGACAGACCACAGCTCTGGTTCCTCCTTCAACACACCACAGGTGTCAAACTCGGGTCATGAACCAGGTAGGAAAACACTGGGGACTCCTCAGGAAAGTGTGGAAAACCATTCCAGCACTGAACAACCCCTAAAATCAAGAGCCTGGCTTTTTATCTTCCTCAAACCCTAGTTTAGAGTATTTGAATTCCCTTTACCTGGTTTACCATCATATGACTTCTACCTCCACCAAATAAAATAAAAATCAAACAAAGTGGTTTTTTTTTCATATTATCAGCTTCCATTTCATACATTGATCTCTCCTATCCTGCCAGAGTTGTCTGCACTGATTCACTCATTCTTTCAACAGCAGTTCATTGTTCATCTACACACCAGACACAGTTATGCTGCTTTGACAATGCCTTTTCTCAGATATTTCTGAGCCCCTGATTAATCTGATTTACACAAACCATTAGAGGGATGTAGCTGTACCATGAATTGTCCCTGGCAAGGGATGAAAATGCCCTCACCTAACTCTTCAGGCCTCTGAGACACTACAGAGCATCCCCTTCCCTGCCAGAGGTGCTGATGAAAACCAGCACTTAATTAACAAAATTCAGCATCTTCTGTGCACCAAGATGTCACTGGAGAACCATGGATTTTCCTGCCATCCATGGATGTGTCCTGGTTATGTGGAACAGGCTTTAAACAGCCACTGGGGCTAAAGAATCCCCTTTCCTTAATGAAATAAAATATCCTTTGAGCTTTTAAATTGTTCAATGCCCACCTCACACACACACACTGCCACAAAACAGCCTCACAGGGAAAAGTAATGGGAGCAGAACTACACTAATGTGATCTGAACTGGGGATAACCTTGTTTGTGTGCAGGGCTGATGATGAGAGGGGCTGTCAGCAAGAGAAGAGATAGGAAAGCAGAATGCACGTGTGCTGATAAAAACAGGCTGCAGTTTTTGGGGCTCCAGAGGAGCATCAGAGCAATATGCCACCACTCAGGCTCAGCAGAACCTTAGATCCAACAAGAAGCAACAGCCAGAGGGAGGGAAAGAGGAGTTCAGGCAAAACAACTTGAGAGGAAAATAAATGTAAAGCCATTCCTCATTCTGGGAGTAAAACAGTATCACCAGAGAGAGACACCACAGAGAGAGAAAAGCACCTGATGGGACACTCGAGAACCTTGGTGGAAACTTCCAAGCAGCTTTTAGGCAAGTTCACAGCACTGCCTGAGGAACTACCCAGAGGGAAACCGTATATCCAGTGGATAAAGCAAAAGCTTGAAAACCAGCGCTGTGCACAGCTCTGCTCCCAAACCTGACAGGCGTTTGCTGCACAACTTCAAACAACCAACTCCCCCGCGTTTCAGCTCTCTCCCATGCACGAGTACAGCCTGTAACCCATGGGCTGTTGTGACTCTTACATGCTGCCAAAGTGACACGAGATCCTTGCACCCCTGCTGCTACTGCTAGCACGGGCAGAGCCTGGGAGCTGGAGGAAGTTGTGATAAACG